CGCGCTCTGTGGTTGGTGTGGGCGAAGGAGAAAAGAAAGAGAAAAAAAAAAAAAAAAACATAAAAAAAGAAAAGCTTCTGCGAGGGGACGGGCGGGGAGGTGGGGGGGGGGGGGGGGGGGGGGGGGGGGCTGGGACAGGCAAGGCTTCTATTTATAGGCGCCGTAATACATAATAAAAGTGATGCACACATGTACACCGGTTACAGCATTCAACAGGTAAACTTCCCATCTAATGTTTGTAGATAAATCCCATTGAAAAGTGCACATAATGTTACACGGTTCCGATAACATCTGCTTTTTGGAACTGCGCTCAATTAACTCGAATAAACAGCATGGGAATTGCTTATAGATAGATCTTTGGTTGCCAAAGGCTAGCAAAAATACTTGCCACAAACTCTTAGCTCAATCCCTCTATTTATGCAGTTTAAGTTATTGTTTTAGCTCCGAAAACCTGTCCGTTTGTGGTGAGATTCCTTCCGCAAATTGGCTGGACACTTTTGACCCTCAAACATGGTCTGACCCCTGGAAATCCATACTAGAGTTATGTACGCGTGCATAACGCTGTCCCCTGCGGAGGCGCTCCACTCGCATGGAAGTATGTCAATGACTTGCACGCGACCACCGACCACGAGAATAGTTGGGTCCTCCCGCCTCCTACTTTTATACACAATACCTAACGAGAGTCTCCTCTCCTCATGCTGTACATTCCCGAATGCAATAAACTTTATTAACTGTGCGACAACGACAACAATTGTTGTACACGCCACACTGGCAAGGGAATTGGGAGTGGGGGTCTTGTGGAGCGAAAACAATTAAATATCCGCTGCCGGCTTGTCCAGAAGGTTTCATAATAGGCCTACGAAACACACAAACACACTTTCTGAATGAATGGTATACATATGTACATATATGTATATGGCGACTATGGATCCTTTTAATTTCCTGCTGTTATTTCCATGCACGTAGCACAGAGAGGGAGGGAGAGAGGAGCCAAGCGCCGCGCCGCGTGATTTCCATTTGCTGTTGGCAGCTCGCGCAGGGCAAACGATGGGAAGGGGGACAAACGCAACAGCCTGAAACATATGCGACACATTCCTACAAGAACCCCCCACCAATTCACACACACACACACACACACACACACACATGCTTATAATGCCAAAGTAAACCAAAAGATAATGGACCTGCGAGGCCCACCCAAAAAGACTTCAACTAATGTTCAGCGCAAGAAAAATAGAAGAGGAAAACGCCAGGGGGTTTGAGAACAAATGGAAGCGCAGAAAGAACTCTTTTTCCTAATGATGGTCATCAAGAGAGAGTATGACATGATATGATATGAGATGATATACTGAGGGAAATAGGGAACTATTTTAAATGAGAGAGATTGCTGGGAGAATGACAGTCGTCTCAATGACAGCCAGAGATACGTATTTTCCCATAGATAATGGCACTACAAGTATAAATATCTCTGTAATATCTGTAAGCAGTTCTCATTAATGTTTGAGCCAACTTTTCAAAGGAAAACTTACTCAAAGAAGGATCCGCTGCCCAATCAACAGATGACCCCATTTTTTGGGCCGTAACTTTTATTTTTCTTCGCTTTGGTTTGCTTTTGGATCTCCCCTGATTGACGTGCAAAAAGGTAAATATATAAGCTAAATATATAAAAGATGTACAGAGTTACTCTGATACATGGTCGTGTGGGGCAAACCCCAATGCTGCTGACAACTTAACGGTGGTTTCTCTCTGTCTCTGTCTCTCTCTCTCTCTTGCTCGGCCTCTCTTTGAACCCAAAAACTGGTTGCGCTTTTGCTTTTCCGCGAATTTTGTTGTCGCTGTCGTTTCGACTTGATTTCGTTTGTTGGTTTTCTTCTTTATCTGGGTGCGGGGGGTTTGCTGATTTGCTTAAACATGAAAAATGGTGCCATTCAATTGACACACATCCAATATATTGGCTAAAAGACAAAGACAGGTGGCGGTTATTTCACAATTAAACGAACTTTGTTTAGGGAAATCTCCGATTAAGAACTTCCAATGAGCATCTTCCATTAGTATAATCATAAGCCCACAGAGCACTCTATAAAGCAGCTCCCCCCCACCACCCATACCAATTATCGTTTTTCTTTCCCTTCTCCAGCTGTTTTTCTTCCCAGGCAGATCTGTGCCACCACAAAATCAATTAGCAATAAAAGCAAATAAAAAGAAACTTATTTTTAATGCCCAAAACCCACAGTCCGGCAAAGATTTATGGCACTTTGTTTCATGCTTTTCAGGCTTTTCCAGCACTCAACAAAAACTTAGAAAAAAGTTGAAAAAGAATCCAAAAATATGTGACATGGCACGCGTCTCAATTGGATGCCCCACCGCCAGCCAAAAATTAATAAAAAATCCAACAAATGTTTGAGCAGGGGGGGGGGGGGGAAGCTGAAGACATCAGCAATTTAGAGCTGCGGGTAATACGTAGCTCATAGATAGACTTTGAGCAAGCCAAAGACAATCGCCGGCAGGCAGGGTAGCCTTGAGGCGCCGAACAGCTATCAATAAACAGAGGTATAAATAATAATAATAATACGAATATAAAGATACTAGCAGAAGGCAAAACACACACAACTGGTTCAGGTCTGCAATCATTTCCTTTTCCGGTTGTGTCTCTTCTCTTCATCTCATTCTCGTTCTATCGATTTGCATATATAATCGATAGACGCATTTGCATACGCATCTCTAGACGATCGAATGACCTTTTACGATCTGTAGACTCACAAATATATAGCTTCTTTTTTTTTTGGTTACAAATAAAGACAAGTGTGAGGACTGTTGGCATTTCTTTTGGGCAATTTTATTTGTGCATAAATACTGATCAGACCTTGATCTGCAGTTGGACACAAGCTCCACTCAGTTAATAGCATTGCAAATACTGCCATTTGTTTTGGTATTAATCATAAATGTTTTAGCATTGATTTAGCAATAAAATGAGACAAGAGACGAGGTCATTACCATACATGGAGCTGCTGCTACTCCGACTCCGACTCCTCCTCCTCCAACGTCTTCTCCAGCTCTGACGTTGTGCAAAAGAAAAAGCTATTTGCTGTCTTTTCACATTGCACGGCTAATCGGAAAGCAACAATAAAATTGTAACAGCTACTAGGAAAACTGTGGAAAGTCATGGAAAAATCTACATCATCAGCGTGAGCCGAGCGTCATCGGCAATTGTCTGCGAAAGTGTCTGTCGACAGCTCAGGTTTTGCTCTTTTTTTTTTTTGTTTCCTTTTCTGCGGCATGTGAAAGTCAGAGCTAAAGAGAAAAACTAAACTGGTTACCCCAGCTGGGTGCTTCGGGAGGCTGCTATATGGCCAGTCAGTGTTAATTACAGCGCGGTAGAGCGAGAGTATGAGTGGGTGAGTGAGTCCTCCACCTGCGCAGAACTCGAGCAGCGGACAGGGAACTCTGAGCAGCAAAACGACTGACAGGATAACGCACTCAATGCAATTGCATCTGCCGGACGGCAGAACAATGGACACATCCAAAGGGGGAGAGGCTGTGCAACACTCCATGTGACTCATGACCCAGTCTGCGTCTGGAGAAGACCAACATATCGATCCAATTGGTGGGTGTCGGCTGAGACGGTTACATTGAACCTGCGTGAGTCTGAGCAGGTGTCTGGCTGGTAGTCTCTCTCTCTCTCTCTCTCACCTGTTGCAAGAACATGCCGCTTAATGGCATTGCATGTTTCACACACTTTGTAAGCGGTTATGGAAAGACTATTAATTGTGCCATTAGAGCGATGTAATTGCAACATTATAGCGTTTATTGGGTGTGGCTAAAACTAAGCGTAAGACCTCTGTTCGGCAGATAAGTGTTTCAAGTGTGGTTGAAATAAGTTTTCATACTTTCAAGATTTGTCTGTGCTTGTTCATTTTCTTTACATTTTCTAAACGAAACTCATTTTGTTATATGTGAAAACTTTACATTTGCTGTGCTGTAATTCTGTAGAAAACCATAGAAAGTGGCAAAAAAAGGAATAACTACATAAACAACATCCGAGTGCCATATAATAATGATGTGCCGTCGTCTGGTTACCCTTGGGCAGTGCAGGGGGGGCCCACAGAACATGACATGGAATGTGCTCCAAGTTGGTTCGCTCGTACATGTGTCTTTATACCTCGTATTTGCATAAAATCGCATTAAAATTTGCCATTTTGCCAACTTTAATGTACCATAAAACACACACAAAAAGAAAAACAACAGCCACGAAGACGATGACGATGACGATGACTACGCCAACCGACCGACCGACCGACCGACTCCATAGGAAACAAGTAACTTTTTTTCGTAGTGTCCAGAAATTGTAGCAAAAGAGAAATAGCGAGAATAATGTGCAGAACAAAAAAAAGAAAGAAAAGCCAAGTAGAAGACGAAACTTGAACCAGGAGAAAATGCCGCCCAGGAAATGGGTGGCCGCCTCCTCCCAGGGGCAGGGGCAGGGGCAGCAAATTAATTGTGGGAGAGTCTAAACTAATGTGGGGACCCAGACCTGGGGCCTGTGCCGCTGTTACCTAATGCCTCATTAGCCGCCTGAAGTTAGGCAAGGCCTGAAGCAAAAATTGAAACCCAAAGGCATTAGGAACTTTTCGTTTTAGGTTTGTTTTTGATAAATCTAATACATGTCCTTCCATAAACTAGGGACTTATGTGCACAAAAAAGAGAATTAGATACAACTAAATTAATTAGAACAGACAAGAAATAAAGCGAAGCAGGAAAAATCCAGCATCTGGCAATTGGTAACCGTTTGGGCTGGGTAAAACTGGGTAAAACTTTTACACATTTCCATGGCATCCATCAATTTGCATATTTGCAAACCAGACTTAAATTTCAATCAAATTCCGATCAAAAAAGGTTTCCACCATTCAATTTGTATTTCCCAGATCCAATTAACCAAATGCCGTATTGATATTTGTTCCCAATCCTGCCACTTCGATTCACACCACATTGAACATCATCAACCGAAGAAGAACATTTGCGTAAATCAGAGGAGTAAATCGAATTCCAAATAGGAAAATCAATGCCCACTTGAATTTATGAATGTATCCACACACAGTACAATACATGCTCGTATTTCCCCAGGCATATTTTCGGCATTCCAATTACACAGTCAAGTGATTCCCCCCCCTCCAGATTGCACAGCATAAATATATTTATATTGATGTTTAGGCAGAAAAATTTACAATTTTCGTTCGGTGTTCGGCCTTTAATTGGCCGCCTGTCAGTTGTCATGACAATAATTAATGTGTTACCAATCGCATGTACAGGGTAACATGTGTATCTTTTGGTACATCATAATGGTGTGTTGTATCTATGTATCTACGTATCTATGCTGTGCGTACTGTGTGTATCTTGGCATTGAAAACTGCCGCACATGTTATTTCTGCACCGAAAGGGAAATGGTAAATGGAAAATGGAAAATGGAAAATGAGGTGACAACTGAGTCAAGACAAGCCAGCCACAAACACACATTCGATTTTTCCAAAAGAAAACAAACAGATTTACGTGACTTTTAGCCAAAATTCGAGAACTTGTTGCGTTTCAAAGGGACTTTTGACCCTTTCTTTCTTTCAGTGGACCACAAAATGTTGTTCTTGTTGTTGTTGTTGTTAAAGAAAACGAGCTGGTTCTTGAGATCTATTTCCCCTTTGTGTGTCCACTCACCATATGCATCTATATAGTGCGCCAATTCAGCTACTAATCCACAGATATCCATGAAAATTCAAAAAAAAAAAAAACATTTTTTTTTTTTTTTTTCTCCATTTTTTTTAAAAAAAAAAATTTAATGGGTTTTCTCCCAGGGTTGGGGGGGGGGGGGGGGGGGGGGGGAGATGATCCCTTGAGAATGCTGAGACCTGACACTCACTCGCGCGTCAGAGACATCCTTGATGTCTGAATAACAGGAGTTCTCTTCTCTTCTCTTCTCTCTCTCTGCTGAGAATGTGTCTTCACGATTTGTTTGCACTTCTATATATAATATCTATACAAATATGAATATATGAATATATATTTTAAGAAATATAATACACTTTTCTCTCTCTCTTTCTCTTTCGTATGATTTGTGGTTTTGGTTCTCAGCTACAATGCGTTTTGCACTTTTCTTTCGAATTGCACTTGTTGTGGGGAATTTTAACGGGATATTTGAGGGATATTATATGGGGATCGATCTCTCTTTTAACAATTTCTCATAGATACTATAGGCAATGCAACATTTGGTTTTTATACTTCATTTCTTTCTTTATTTGTGTGTGTGTGTTGGGTGGATGAGGGGCGGGCGAAACCTTTGTTTATATTTCTTAATTTTCCTTTTTGTTTCGTTTGGTAAGATTTGTATGTTTTATTTTATGTTTTATGTAAATTTGAAAGCAAAACACAAACAGCGGACAAACGAGCGCACGAACGGAGACGAGCGGACGATCGAATCGAGCGAGCCAACCGTGCGGACGAGAACCGTTAATAACAAAATCCAAAAAACAACTCCAAGAGCGAAATGAACGGAATGTTTCAACGCCACCAAAACACGTCTGAAATGAATTCACCACGAAACACACCACCACCACAGGCACTCACACACGCACACTCACAGAGAGACAGCGAGAGAGTAAAAGTCGAAAGCGGAATCAACGCTAAAGTTAAATGTGAAACGCAACCCACACACACACACACACAGTTACTCACGAGAGTATCTCTCCCTCTCAGGCTTGAATGAAAAATGCCGATGCAATCGTGAGATACTTTTTGCCCTACGCTCTCTCTCGCCTCCTCTCTCTCTCTCTCTCTCTCTCTTTGTGTGTTTACTCTCTGCCGCTCTGGAGCTAAATGTGTGTGTTCGTGTCGCTTTCCTTTATTTGCCTTCATTTATTGTATTTTTTGTCTGTTTTCTATCGGTTCTTCCTCACTTTTCTGTTGTTTTTGTATTCCTCTTTCGATTGCTGTTGCTGTTGTTGTTGTCGTTGCTGTCGCTACTTTCGGGTGCACAAGTGCAAATTCACACGTACATTCGAAATGTACGCTGGCACAGTGGCACAAAAGCAAGCGAAATTGGAATCAAATGTTTCAAAGGTACAATTGGTAGAGTTGTAAAAGTGTTTGGGGAAAACTTTAGAGGAGTTTCAGCGCGTGTCTTAGATAAATTCTCAAGAATCCCCTCCAATAATAGTTTCAGGGGTTCAAACATTTGCTCTGATTTCTTGAAATTCTCAGAGCTCTTGAAATGATGGTAGATGCAAATCAGCACTTTCCATTGTATCTACACTCTATTGCTCATCCCAAGACATGTCCACCTGCCCTAAAGTCACATTTTTAACGCAATAATTCTTTGGCAATGAATAGAATCACAGCCCTGGTCATAGAATCCTTTGCAGAGCTCACTAAATTGGAACAATTCCAATTCGATATATTCACACAGCAAAGGAAAATGAAATTTTCCCCCTTGGGAGAGAGGTGCACAAGAAAGAACTGAACATCGAATGAGACGTAATTGATGGAAAGGCAGCCACCAGCAGATCAACAAAAGTCATGCAACAACAGTAAAAGTAATAACAACAGCAACAACACAGATACAGAATGTATCTATGAGTAGGTGTACGTGAGTGTTGGTCCGTTTTCTGTCTGTATATTTGTATAGCGATTGACCGTCGTCGTCTGTTGGGCGGCGTATAAATTGCACATTTCAAATACATTGTGGTTAAAAAGTAAATGCAAAGCGAGATACAGATACACGCTCTCTCTCTCTCTCTCTCGCTCTCTCCGGTCTCCACTCTCCTCCATCTCCACCTGACGGCTGTCTGTCTGCGTGTGCGTGTGTGTGAGGCAAGTTCAAGTGTAGAATGCAATGGAGAGCAACTGCAATCTCTCTCTCTCTCTCTCTCGCTCTGTACGCATACGCATAGAAAAGCCGGCAAAGTATCTTCAATCGAAAAGAAGGGACACTGAGCACGGGCAGAGGGGTACCCTCAGAGAGAGAGAGAGAGAGAAATTCACCACAGTCTATGCTCGCTCGCTCTCTCTCCCACTCTCGTTTTGGCGGCTAGACACCACATTGAACCACAAAGAGTTCAAGATTGAAAACACAAAATATCAACAATGACAGCTGAGTAGTGTGTGCCCCACAGCGGGGGAGGGTGTGGAGAGGGTGCTCGTTCTCTCTCTATGAAAATCTTCTCTCACGTATGTCTCTCTCTCTCTTTCTGTTTGTGTTTGTTTATCCCTACAAATACAGCTGCCGCCCAGAGCCTTCTGCATTCTATGATTTGTCTGCCACAGATTCTGCCTCTCTCGCTCCCACGCCCACCGAGCCCACACCCACATCCATCAGGCAACACTCCCACCCCCTTACCAGGCCTTTTCCCTTCTCTAAACCAACCCACCCACACACACCCTTTTGACGCTTCTTGGCCGACTGCCAAACGACTCGACTCGACTCGACTCGACGCGACTCACTCTCCTCCGTCAGTTCAGTAGTACAGTGGAACAAATTGCTTTGGGTGTGAGTGCAACAGTCAGTGTATCGGTGTGTGCTTCTGCACTTGTGTGCATGTGTGCGTGAGAGAGAGAGAGAGAGAGAGAGATTGTCTAGTTTGTCTAGCTGCGGGGGAGGAAGGGAGGGAGGAAGTCATGTGCACGCCGTTTGTTGGGGTAGTTCTCGCCGGCAGAAAAGATAAATAGAAATAGAGAAATAGACGAGAGCAAAGAGGAAACTGAGAAAAGTGGAAAGAGATTTACATACACAAGTATGTATGTATGTATGTATATTCTGATGTATGGCACTGTGCATACCCTGGAGTGTGAGGGCAGCTACAGTTTCCTTTTATCCCTTGAACCTCGCTTGACTTTAAATACCATTTTGATGCAAAGCGACACTTTTAAAGATACGTTTTTTACCCCAAAGGCTTGTTTATATTTTACAAATTCAGAAAATGTAAAGCGCTGTCTCTAAAACTAGTTCACACCACAGATCTGGGTACTATAGTTGTATAAATACCACCCATTCTTGATTGCTAACAACTCGCAGACACATTATGTATCTGTAGCTTTACACCACACTCCAGCTATCTGTGCATCTGTGCACACTCGTAGTACTCGTAGCCAAAGAAAATGGAGAGAAAAAAAGAAAGAAAAACTTGTCTACATGCCTGTCGTACAAGCTGCAAAATTTATGCGAAGACACACAAATCCACTGAACGAGAGACCCCGACATCAACGAGAGACATTGGTTGGTGCTGCCGCCTGCTGCCTCATGGCTGTAGTTTTGCCCATAGACAGACCTGCACCACCAACACCAACACCAACATGCAGCATGCACCACTCCACTGGATTTCAATCCCCCCCCATTAGCTCCACGCTCCACTCTGCACAGCATGTATGTATGCATGTGGACCCCCCGACATAGGCATGGACATAATAATTTGTTGGATTTTCTTTTGCCAGTCTGGTTTGCCTTGTTTGGCGCGGATTCGAAGCGGGTTCGGTGAGGTTTCGACACGGGTTCGGCTTGCCGTCGGTTTGGTTTGGTTCGGTTTGGTTCGGTTCGGGCATGATTTTGACTTTGAATCGGGCGCCGTGCCACAGCACAGCGCAAGATGTAGACGGGCAGGAGGAGGCAATCGCAAAGTCAGGTTTAATGTCGTTCAGTGGCGCGGCGGCTTTTTTCTGTTGCCGTTGAGGTAGTCAAAGCCACGCGACAGAGAATCAGAGAGAGAAAGAGAGCGACAGCGACAGCGAGAGTAAGAGTAAGAGGGAAAGGCAAAAAGGGAACCATGACATCAAAAGTGGGCTGAGGCCGCAGCGCTCGTCGTCGTCGTTGTCGTGGCCCAAGGAACCGCACAAAGACCGAAAGACACCCAACGAGCGACCGACAGACCGACAGACCGAGCGACCGAACGACCGACAGACCAAGCGACCGTGTGGGCAAATAGTCAAATAGTCGGTGGGGGTATGGTGTATATCGGTGGTTGTTTCCCGATAAGCGTCTATGAATGGGTAATGTAATGTAATGGTGGGGCACTGGCGGACGGCAGAGACAGTGCAAGAGCTGGGTCGGGGGGCAGTGATGGGCAGGGTACATTGCAGGGAGTTGTCCAACAATACATCGAAGTAAATATATATTCTCCAATACATAAGTGAACCCTAAATGGTTGGTGGAAGGTCGCACATGGCACAGTGGGATAAATCTGCATTAAATGAAAGTGGAAAATGCAATTGAAATGGGGAAATGTCTGCCACTATCGATGGATTATGTGACACGAGACACGATAATATAACAATTCCATAGATCCCTTGTCTTTCCCTTAATTCTGTATTTTCCACACAATTTCCATGCCATAAATCAAAGAGAATAAATACATAAATATACCTTAAAGATATTCCTCCCACAATCTCCAAATGTTGCACTCAATGCACAAAAATGCACTTTAAATTCCCTTCCTGACTGTGGAATTCATATCAAAAGACACAATAGACGTAGCCCCTATCTGTGCCCCTTCCCTTCCCCCACAGAGCCCGTCTAATGCATTTCCCTGTCTTATCAATTCAGTTTTTGGCGCCACTGGACAATCGATCGACACTTGCATTTTATTATCTACATTTCCTTGACTTTTGTTCTCATAAATTGTTTTATGGCCGCACTTACCATTCTAGCAGACATTAACATAATATAATTGGAACTTTAATGCCAAGAGCAACGACTGATCTGAACGATAACTCACCTGAAAAGGAACAAAGATTATTTCATTAATTAACATCTTCAGAGTGGAAAGAGTATTATAATCTACATAGTTCCTGTGCTGTATCTAGAAGGTCGTTCCATTGATAAACGAAACCCAGTTCGATGCATTGACAAGAAATTAGCACTTAACACATTTTCGCCCCTTATTTGTTTGTTTGTTGTGTTTGTTTTTTCGCGGAAAAACCTTGACTGACTGTAGTGTGACTGACATTTCCCACTGCAGGAAGAGTGTGGAGCTGAGGGCCAGATAATTTTCCGAAATTCATTCATGGGAGTCATGCGAGTTGGCAAAGCATTAAAAATTCTTTATTATTTGTTCACGTTTCTCGTGCCAAGAAGCCAGACCCAGAGCCAAGCCTGAGCTTAAATGCGAAATGCAAATTGAATTTGAAAATTGCCACCGACACTTGACGTCGTGGCCTGTCTACGAAAAAATAATAAAAATAAATAAAGTTGAATAAAATGCAAAACAACAAATAAAAGCATAAAAACCGCAATATGCCGGGGCAGGGAGGAGGAGGAGGGGGTATGTACACAAAGCTAGCTTGGACTCCCCATTGAGTGCCTCATTCCCACCTCGCTGGAGATCTCTGAATGATTCTGTGCAGAGTCAGACGGCAGGCAGGCAATGCTCCACAGCTGAATGGAATGGATATTTAGCTGTGTGTCTGGAATTTGATTAAAATAATTTACTGATGCTGGCAGCTGCCGTCTGCCAGTTTCTTGTGAGCTATAGACGAGACGTGCATGCAGGTGTACAGTGCGTTTCAGGGCGGCAAAAAATATATCTAATATGTGCAGGGCTGAGCTGTGCACGCTTTCAAGTGGTCAAGTTACATTTTTGCCATCCAACATCATCTATGACTGTCTCTCTCCTTCTCTGTTATGCCCATGAAACGCACTGTACCTTTCATTTGATTCATGCTACATGCGATTATTATTATATTTCGTGATTTATGCTGACATGCGTGACATTATTTCATTCCAAGTGACAATTTGAGGCGTTGTTGCCTGGCACCAGAAACGTTTCATTTTTATTCACGAGTACACGAGTGCACTCGTAAATTATATTCGTTGTCGAACGTATGTTTTGGCATCCTCCAGGGTGCTAGATCATGATGCAACCTGACAGACAGCGTACCCCAGCAATCGATTGTTGCATACTAAACAGAAGTCCCGTACCCCGTGTCCGTGCCCGTGGCATGTGCACCACAGGCGAGACCTTGGGCACGCCTTCCTTCTATCGATAACAGTTTCCTGTGCATAATGGACAACAAATAGACAGAATGACGGGAATTCATCTCAAAGTCTCTCATCACACAAGTCAGGAGGAGAATTTTCTGGTTGTGCTCTGGCAATCTTCCAGATTGCAACTCTTTTTCATAGTTTTCATAGCAAAGATCAGTCTGGCAGGGTGTTCCCTGCCTTATTCCTCTTGTTTACTGTAACCTTGTAAGCAAACAAAAAGAGAGTGGGGGGTCTGGTCTGCTTGTGTGTGTGCAACACGCGCCAGAGCTTAGGGCTCTCCCCCCGCTCTCTGACAGCTTTGACAGAGGGAGAGAGAGAGCTTCTTGCCGGCTGCTGGCTGCTGGCGTGTCGGAAATAGCCGCAACGCACTTGTCACAACACAATCTGCGCTTTACTCAATTGAAACCCTTCCTTTCTTCCTGCCTTTGCTGCCCTTCCTTCCACGAATTAACACCAGCCCAAAGCTCTGCCCCACTCTGAAAGTTGTGTAAATTATTTTTAAATTGCAGATATTTAATCAAGTGTGAGGTCTGTTGCGTTGCTGTTCCACCACTTTGTATGCATGTCAAACAATTAATTAGTGCACAATTCTCTCTATTCCTCTCCCCCCTTGCTTTCCTCTTTTCTCTTCTTAATATTATTGTTCATTTTTGCTGCTGCTTTAGCAAGTTGTTTGCCTTGAACTTGTATTTCGATGACAATCGAAGCAAAGCAAATGAGTTGAAAGATTGCTGCACATATGCTGCAGATATTTCAGCTTAAAGATCCTTTTAGTTATATTTAAAACCTAAATTCTGTCTAGAAAATCCCCCAATCAGCCATAAATCCATTTGCACTGCCATATTTGTTGTTGGCCACAAAATGAAGTTACCCCAGATGTCGCCGGTCGCCGTGAACTCTAAAAGTGCACAAGCTCGTACCAAAAAATATATCTGTAGGTATGCCCCTCGCATATACTGTGTATGAATAATCATTTGCGGTGCGCCTGCCATAAGTTCATTGAACGAACAGGCAGGCAGGCGACGTTGAGCAGCATTTGCTGCGGTTCTTACTCATTATTGGCTGAGTTTTACCTAATTAAGTCAACAAAGTGGGGAAAATCCCACACGCAGTGGCACACAAACTGACAACCCACCCACCCACCAGCCCCCCTGCCTGTCATTGTCTGGCTACCGAAAAATAATAAGGAAAATCTGATGGCCCAAACAAGAAATGCTCTATGGAAAGAGCAAAAACAACAGCAAAAGTGCGATCAGTTGAAATGCTGAAAGATCAGCAGGGAGAAGGGCTTTTCCGATAGTATAAAATATGTAAGCAAAAGTTCAGGAAAGAGCATCAACTGGGTTGCCCGGTGGCAAAGCCAACAAAAACAAAATCAAATGCAATTATTAGACCACGCATAAAAATAACAAAATTAGGCATAATTTTTGTAGACATAGACGGGATAGCATTTAATAAAATTATCCCCCCCCCACACACCGCACAACAAAAGGGTTGCTGGAAGGGGCAGCACGACTGACACCCGTCTGGCAACGACCCCAACTCCGACACTCACTTATTAACACGAACCGCGCGAAAGTTTCATTTCTTTGGTGGCTTCTTGTTTTGTTTTTGTACACACCAAATGGCCCTCTAATTGGGTCGAGACATGGCACGGGCCAAGTCCAGACACGTCAACAAAAAAAGAACCTTTTGAAAGTAGAAAAGTCGCAGCACATCGTAGCAGTCTGGGGAAAGGATTTCACTGGATAAACCTTATTCCCAAACGAAATCTCAGTCACCATCAATCAGACTAGCCCCCCACATAATCACAACGGAAAATTGAGCAATGGAAAACATAACGTTGGAAAACGAAAAAATAAGCGAAAACCCTGTCAAGGACTTTGTAAGCGTGTTCCTGTGGATGTTCCGCTTGAAAGGATATGCCCGCGGATTCCTGTGGATGTTCATTGGTATTTTGGGCCTCGTGAAAGCTTTTTACATTTTCGGTTACTTTTTGCACGGTCTGCCGCTCCGCTCGATGGACCACAAGTGGGTGGAGAAGTGGACGCTGCACCAGGAGATGGAAAAGAAGCGAGAATTTCAGTTGGAGGAGCTGATCGAGAAAAATAAGAAACTAGAAAACTTGGTGCAGGAACTGAAGGAGTACAATGCACTACAAGAGAAGAACAGCGAAGAGCCACAGCAAGAACCGACGAACTGTCTGAACAATGTCTACATAAAGAATAATCACTACCATCTGACCAACCAGATGTTTGTCAACGGCGAACACTTTGATCTCAACACCGCGAACTCTGCGCCTCTGGCTCCAAACGTGGAGCCCAATATCTGGATGAAGTACCTCAAGCAGCGCCAGTCCCTGATGCCATGCGAGTCCATTGTCGATGCCACAGCTATGATTGAAGATACTCCTGGCCGTCATGAGCCCACCATTATGGGCACCCAGGAGATGGAGGAGTTGCAGGGTGAGTGAAAAGTCGATCTAATCTGATTCTGACTCTAAAGTCTGGCACTTCCTTTCAGGCATGCGCCCTTCTATTAATGCCTAGCTTTACGTTCATTTCATAAATATGTTCACGTTTTAGCAGCTTAAGAAATAAACAAAAAAAAAGAATACATAAGAAGACACAATAAATACACTAAATACATAAAAACACTGAAAAATATACAACAATTTGCTCTTTTATCAAAGGTTTTGGGCAACGATTCGTGGACTAAGTTTCGCTTCTTGTTCTTAATCTGATTCTGATTCTGATTCTGATTCTTTGCAGCTAAAAATGTTTATAGTTATCCATCCTTTTGCCTCTCCTAATCCTCACTGAACAGAGTTGAGTGTTGGGAATCGATCAATTTGGCTTTCCTTTTGCAATCATTTGAAACGGAAATGCCCGAATACTCGTGTTTGAGTTCGTGTTGATTTATTTGCATAAACGATATATAAATATATTTATTTGTTTTATCCAATTTCCGTTAAGTGCTCAAACCGTTTCTATTTGCTCTTGCCCACAGACTCCTCCCGCTTGACATCTGCCGAAGAGGAAACAAAACAAATGCAAAAATATGCGTCTGCCCCGTCCATCGAGTCGTATTCCATGTGGCACCGAACCGCTCCCTCGAACCGCTAAGACGATGACTTATCAACGCAGAGTTAAGCGATTGCTCTCCCTCTCTCTCTCTCTCTCTCTTCGGGCATATCTCTCTCTTTCTGCGCCGCCTGCTGGTGGGGTCAGTGGCAGTTATCGTTGCAATTTTGTAATCAGTCGCCAGCTCAAGGTTAAATTCTCGCCGCGGCACAGTGGGGCAATCTCGATGGGCTTTTTTTCGGGCTTCCTTCTGCATCTACGGCTGCTTCCGTTGTCTCCTGATTTTGTTTGGGTGTAGTGGGGGAATATCGAGGGTTTTTCATTTGCTCTGGGTCTCGTTTGGTGTTTTTTTGATGGCCACTTTGTGGGTCATTTGCCCGTCTGGCACTCCAAATTTCTTCATGTTTTTTAGGTGTATATATTCACATACATATGTATTTTTTTGCTTGTATTTTGTGATTGTCACTTTTGTTGATTTAGATTTATGGCCATTTAAATGCAATTCCATTGTATTTACTGGATCACTTTTTGTGCACTGACTTGGGTCCACCTCTCTCTCTCTCTCTTTCTTTTATTTTTACTTTTTCTTACTGTCTGGTGATGATTGTTGATGATGTTGATAATGATGAAGGCTCAATCGATTAGCGGTGATTGCTGCAAGCACACAATTTGGGCTCTGATGAAGTCATTGACTGGACACAAGATATTTGTTATCGATAGCATCGATATATTAATGCTAACTACCGATATAATTCCATTTTAGTCACAGCCAACCAATTAAAGTAGATTTCATCAAAGCTTGTGTACAAAATTCTTCATTTGATGTCCTCCATCGGCACCCGTATGATCCACTTCTCTCATTCTGGCTGTGTCAGGGCCTCATAACCAGCAAACCAACGTCATTGAGGGGCCCACATCTTTTAATTGTTATCGTCGGGTGTCAGCCACACGCCTCCCACACTCACACATATTGCATAAAGCCAAGAGCCAAGCCATGACGCAGCTCCTGAAGGACCTTTCGCTAGACAGTTCCTAAGTCTTATGCCACAAAGAAAGTGCGCAAATGAAAACTGTTATTATTTATAGATCGAAGAAAGGGAACGTGGAGAGCAAAATTTACAGTTGAGGGGTGGCATGACATTTGCATAGATAATTTGTTTACCCCAGAGAGAGAGAGAGAGAGAGAATCCCAAATGAATTCGCACAGTAACCCACATAGAACACAGTCCCAGAGGAGAGCGAGTGCTGGTGTGTGTGTGTGTGTGTGTGGAAACAATCTAATCGTTAATTGGCACACTAACCCCAAACACACAGAGATTCCGCTGCCATTGGCCCCATTCCACGGCACTCACTGATAAAAATAGTTTATTTTTTATCAAGGCTGTTTGCCAAAATAGAAAAAAAAAACCAAACACAAAAAATAAACCACCCACAAAAAAAAAACGAAAGTGAAAGCAAAGGCAAAGTGCGAATGCGAGGGCGTGTGGATAGATAGGGAGAGCAGAGCAAACCGAATACAATTGAAGCCAAAGCGACCTTGAGATAATGCCCTCATTTCGTGTTTGCATTTGAAAATTTGTTTATTTAACAATCAATTGGTAGAATGGGAGAACCAGGAACTAAACTGGGGCAGAGACTATGTTTACAAAAGCAAGGGAAATATTATAGAAAGTGCTTCAAAAATTCCATTCTAACGATCAGAGAACTATTTATTGGATATATTGGATTTCCCAATAAAAAACTTTGATTTCAACCCTTAAAATTCTGTCACTCAAAATCACACAATTCTGATTCAAACCAGTTTCAATTTTGCATCCAATTTAGCGTTCAGATTCAGATAAAAAATAAACAAAACCTGGACAAATAAATCAACATTTGACATCAACAGCATCATAAAGTGGAAAATAATAAAGTCCAAGCAACAAAAAGAGCTGCAGCAGAAAAGTTCATTAACATCGGAATTAAGAATATCTAAACAGCTGAGTGCTGACTGCCGAGTGGAACGACTGCGAATCATACGTAAAGAATTCATTGAAATTAAAAAAAAAAAAATGTGAAACACACACACAATTTGTGTGGGTCAATGTGCTAGTTTTTCGGATCTAGAAGATCATTGACACCTCACACCCAAAACGAAATCGAAACGAGATTAGATCGGAACGGATCGAATCGAATCAGATCTTCAGTGCGGCTCGCTGCTCCATGGATAATCCTCCTGCCTGGGGAGACAGTCAGTCCCCCCGCGGCATAAGCATCGTAGACAGCGGCAGCGAGACCCCAATGAAATGTTTGTTTGCCCAAAAATTAGGGTCAGGGTTATGTCTCTGTCCCACTATCAAGTGTCGCTTGTCTACGCTTTGTTCTCTTTGACTGCGAATGTATCTGTGCCGGTGCCTGTGCCTGTGCCTGTGCTTTGTTTGTGTGTATTTGTATCTGTGTCATGCGAAAGCGAAAATAAACGGGCAGGCAAACACTCTGGCAGACGGGCCAGTAAATGTTCATGACTCCCATTCTAATTTCATTTAAATGCCTTACAAACACACACACACACACACACGCACAGCCTTATATACACAGATACAGAGTGAAGGAGTAAGAGGGGGAGAGAGTCTGGGGGTTTGCTTGTCTGAATTTTCTATATACAAAAATTGCAGCCGACGAAGCGTCGGCCATTTTGGTTTTACTTTTATTTCGTTGATTTTTGCTTTCTTTTCTTCGTTTTGTATCCCCAAAATTCTGTCTGCCTCCCTCCCCCTAAGCCGCCGTCACCTCCTTCTACCATTATCTGACGCCAAGCCCCTCCCTGCCCACTCACACGCCCTCTCTCCCACAATAATCAGCGTCATTGTGTCGTGTTTTTCGAGGCGCAAAACGTGTTGCCATCGTTTTATTTTTTGCTGCTGTTTTTTGCTTACTTTTTTTGTATTTGTTACTGGTGAAGCAAATATTTGCAATTCTCCTGCTTTGTCTGTCTGCACCAGTAAATTGCTGTACTTTATTATTCTTTGGAGGTTTTTTCGGTTAAACAGGAGAGAAGCTACAGAAAATCTTAGAGATTTTAACAGAGAATCTGCCCTGATCATGGGATGGAATGGTAACCGGTTTGTTCTATTTATTGTTTACATGTAACAATAAACAGCCACCACATAATATAAATAGAATAGACAAATTTTGACTAGGAAATGGCCTAACAGAAGCACCAAGACAACGGTTCTCAGCCGGTCCTGTGGCGCAATGGATAACGCGTCTGACTACGGATCAGAAGATTCCAGGTTCGACTCCTGGCAGGATCGCAGAAATTAACTTTTTTTCCATTTATTATTTTTTACACTAACTATTTATCGATTGATACAAGAAAATGAAGAAAACTGACTTGAAAATATATTTTAGATACATTTTTTTAGAAAAAAGAACACAAATTTTTTTAGAAAAAAGAACAAAAAGTTTGCTTTCGCCCAACGTGGGGCTCGAACCCACGACCCTGAGATTAAGAGTCTCATGCTCTACCGACTGAGCTAGCCGGGCACTTGGTCCTCGCTGCTCCCATCGCCAACATGAGGTGGCGCCCGAAGATGGGAACATTTTGGCAGCAGATGAAGAACTAGAACCTACACATAATCGTGTGGGAGAGGACGGATGGATATGTAAGAGAAACCGCAGCACGAAGACTGGGGGCTGTCTAGGGCGTATGCGTAAGTTAGTGGTTTGTGGTTGATAACGAGAGAGAGAGAGAGAGAGAGAGTGAGAAGGAGAGACTAATTAGCTAGACAAAGAAAATGGCTTGAATAAGGTGTATAAGCTGTCCAGTTTATTAATAATCTATGCCTGCTCGAAGACAAACGCCATAAATACTCAGCGCAGCTTGAATTAAATTCGTATAAATGTGCCTAAGGAGTACACATCACAACATGCATGCAGTATGTATTATATCTATGCCATTACACGATAATTTTGCGCTTTAATAAGCTTCACTATTTGCTTAATCATTTGAGAGAGAAACACACCATAGAGAGAGAGAGAGAGAGCGATTCATTCATTCATTGTCGCTGCTCTCTGCTCTGGCTCGAAACTATTCATAGATTTCTATTTCATTTTCACCCTGACCCACCGCAATAGTTTTCATATTGTTGGGTGCCGCCACCCCTTTGCACAACGCGCAGCTCGACAGCTGCAACAACTACAACAAGTGCCAACAACTATTTATGGCAAAATTCATGCGGGCTGGCTTTCTATCAAAGTTGTTTCGCTCTTGATTTAGTTTATTAATGTGTGATTTTTTTTTGCTATTCCCTTTTTTCGCCACAGTTCATTCAGCGATTCATGTGATTCATGATAACACGCACAAATTTCGTACGCACAGAACTTTTAGCACAAACAAAAAAAAGTGCGAATTATTTTCGGTGCCAGACAGTCAAGTGTGTATTGGTGGTGCGTATGCGTGTGTGTGGGTGTCTCTGTTGCGTGTACACGCGGCGTATGATTCACAACACGCATACGCCACAGTGTCTGCGACGCACAATGTGCAAAAGATAACCATTTTGTAGTAGTTGT